AGAGAGAGAGAGAGAGAGAGAGAGAGAGAGAGAGAGAAGAGGGGAGAGGAGAGAGTATGCTGACAGCTTGGATCCCCACAGACTCTCTCACAGACTGCGAGATCATGACCTGAGCTGAAATCAAGAGTTGGATGCTTAACCGACTGAACCACCCAGGTGCCCCAGAATTGAATTAGTCTTAATCTTATTTTTGCTTTTCTTTGTCTGCTTTATTCTTTTCCTTTCTGCAGGTTTCTCTGCTACTAGCTGTTTACTATCTGTCAGGTACTATGTTAAATGTTCTACAATTATCTGGTTTAATCATCTTATCAAACCTTTGAGGTACTTTGTTCACATTTTATGGGTAAAGACATCATGTTTTTTATTTAATTTTTTAATGTTTATTTATTTCTGAGACAGAGAGAGACAGAGCATGACTGGGGGAGGGGCAGAGAGCGAGGGAGACAGAATCAGAAGCAGGCTCCAGGCTCTGAGCTGTCAGCACAGAGTCCGACACGGGGCTCAAACTTACAGACTGAGTGAGATCATGACCTGAGCCGAAGTCGGATGCTCAACTGACTGAGCCACCCAGGCGCCCCAAGACATCATGATTTTAAGAGAAATGCGTATCTATTTGGAGGCTGGGCTGTGATTAAGCTCTCAACCATCATGTTCTGTATTGCCTTCTGTGGTGAAAAGTGGCCATACTTCAGCTCCTAATATTTTCTGTTTCCTGTCTCAAGAGACTAAATGTCCATCTGAATCTCCTGTTCCTTTGGGGAGGGAAGAAACTGGGTTGGCTTGGATGAGGTGCCTGACTCTGGACCAGTTAGCCATGGCTAGGCAGTAAGGTTGCTTAAGACACAAGATGTCTGTGGGTTTGAGATAGCTCATTTCTCAGAGAAGAGGGAATTATGAGCTGGTAGTACCTTGACAGATACTATAGAGTAAAAACCAGAGTAATAAAGTTGTAATTTCACACAAGAAGTTTGGTAGTGGATGGAATGGATTTGAAATGGGAAGTTAGAAACTGAAACACAGGATATTACACTAAATATGTGAGACTGGAAGGGGAGGGAGTGGAAAGAAGGAGAGGGAGTGAAAAGGAAGGGAGGGAACATTTTAAAGGATGAAATGACACATGGATATTGGGTAAAGGAAAGGGAGTAATCAAAGACAATTCTGAGTACCAAAGTTAATCACTCTGGAATGGTGGTACCGTAAATAGTCATAGAGTAATGGCAAAAGGAGAGCAAACTTTAAGAGTAAAGTTCTGTTTTGGGCATGTTCGTTTTGATGCTGCTGGGAGTTTTCATTGGAAATTTAGGATTAATGTAATGGAGTTAAGTTGGAGTTGTAGCTGCCTAGAAGGAAGACTGGGAACCAATGACATTTTTTTGTTAGAGAAAAGAAAAATGAAGATGGCTATGGTGAATATCCATCCACACTTGTGGAGAGTAAGAGAACAAGTTACCACGAACGGATCATGAACGTTCAGGAAAGGAGAACCTGCAGTAGAACCTTGCTGTAAGGACCTGAAGGATTGAAAAAAGTTTCTAAGACCACAGTCGTAGTTCCCTGGTTTGGGCAGACCTCTCATTATAGGGTACTGAAGAGAGTAGAAGTTGTAGGATTAGACTGAATGTTGAAAAAGTAAGGGAAGAGGAAAGTAAAAGAGTGAGGGAAGGTTTGGATGGTTTTTAAGGGAAACTCTTTGTAGGTAGGCATTCATTGTTCAGAAAAAGCACTTGAGTTGCTTATTTATCTCAAGTGAACATGTATTTTTGCTGAAGATTTTTTTTTTTTTTTTAAATTTTTTTTTTTCAACGTTTTTATTTTTTTTTTTATTTTTGGGACAGAGAGAGACAGAGCATGAACGGGGGAGGGGCAGAGAGAGAGGGAGACACAGAATCGGAAACAGGCTCCAGGCTCTGGGCCATCAGCTCAGAGCCCGACGCGGGGCTCGAACTCACGGACCGCGAGATCGTGACCTGGCTGAAGTCGGACGCTTAACCGACTGCGCCACCCAGGCGCCCCTGAAGATTTTTGATTAGACTTAGCACTGTTTACTAACTTCTTGGTGGTTAGAGATTAAGACACTGATGACTGTTTTGTATTTAATG